CAATAAGTAACTATTTTAGTAGCAAGGAACGCCTAGACGACGTCATTGAGATAAACATCTTTTTGGGTTCTGGGGTGAAAACAAATGGTCTGCTCGCGCTCCCTGCTGCTCTATTTAGTAAAACTCATCATCTTATCAATAACCTCCTACTTATAAATAAACTTCTTTCCTTTACTTATCATTATATATACTCTAAAGCAAAAAAACCTATGAATTGATCAATGCATTACCATCAAATAATTTGAAAGACTTAATAATATATTACTTAATGACCAAAAAATATACTTTATCAACACAGGTTTGCTCTCATCAAACACTCTTTTATGATTTTACAGTATTTTCTTTTCTCTTTTAAGTATGATATGAACTGATCAAATTTTTGGATCAGTAATAACTAAACCTTATACTGGAAGTTAAACTTATTTTAATTTAATTTAGGTAGGTTAGTCTGAAATAGTGTAAGATTGATTTTGATTTAATTTTATAAACTAGATAGAAATTTTTATATTCTCTCTTTATAATTTATAATTTTATAAAATTTTACTTTACTTCTAATAAAGATTGTACAAAACTATCATATGTTAAAAAAAATCTCATTTTTATCATTTTTAAAAAGTAGCAAAATTTGAAATTATATTTAAATATTTTAATATAATAATATTATTTCCATTAATTATAAATTAGAATATCATATAACAAAATTAATTATGAAAAATTTTTTCTAAATTATTTTTAAATTTTAATATTAATATTCTAATTATTATTAGTAGTAAGCTATTATCTTTTAAAAGTTTAAAATAAATAATATATAAAATAATCAGATAACTTAAATTAAATAAAATAAGAAGCTGTTGTTTATATAAAAATTCTAATGATTACTTATATACTTTTTACATAATAGTATTTTTAAAGGTAGAGATTTACAATTATCAAAAATTAAAATTGTAATGCAAATAAATTCAAAATATATAATATTATTTTTAATAATTAAGCTAGCTTTTAAAAAAATCATATGAAGCTATTTAACAGAATTCTTTCTTTGCTATAAAATATAAAAAAAGAAGGTAAGTTTCATTTGTTAATTCTTTTATTCGCATCATGTAAATATAAGCAAAAAAAAATCAAATCTTACCTTGTAACCAAAGGCCCAGTCCAGTTCTGATAAATTTTTTGATCTCCTTTTCATGACACAATACTTACATAATGATTTTATTATCAATTAATAATAGCATTCTAAAGTCTCTTCGATTGTAAATAGTATCATTGATAAAATAAATCAGGAAAGAAAAAATTTGGCATTGATCTATATCTGATAATCTGCGTGATGCAATTCTAAAATCACAGGTACTTTCTCTACTAATTCAGGTGATAATTATAATTTTTGGATAGGTTATAAGGTAAGTTAGTTATTATTCATTGTATAGTTTAATCTCATAAATGCCAATCAAACTTATTTTTCTGAAAATAACCAGTTAAAATTCACATCAATCAAATAAAAAACTTTGTGAAGTATTGTATCAATGATAACGCAAAAAAAAATAAGCAATAAATTTTTTGTATATGAAGTGGAATAATAGAATGTAAAAATGAAGCATATCAGTAAGGCTGAAAGGTACTTTATTAGATATTATATTACTTTGAAAGGCTATTACTAATCTCTAAAATACTTCTTATAGATTCAAAATTAGCTAAAATCAAAACTTTCTATATCATCTGTGTTGGTAGAAAAGAGTATGATAATCTCATAGTTAGCAATAATAATGGACATTTTCAAAAACATGAGAGAGCAAAAGAAATAATATGACGCAGATGAAAATATGTCATATATTTCATGACTATTTTTATTTATTTTATTATTAGTCTAAAAATAATAAAGTTCACCTATAATCTGATTTTATATCGTTTAACATGAATGAAATTCTTTTTTGCGTTGCTATCAAAATATGAGAATTCCGGGATGATTAAATGCTCTCTCTCAGCTAATTTATCACTAATCATAGCAGATTTGCTAGAAATGATCCAAATTGACAGAGCTGAATTCTCACGATTTCATAACTTTTGAAAAAATATAAATATAAATACATATATAATCAGTATATTTTTTTTCTCAATGTACAAGAAAAAAAATCTTAAATTCTCTATTGATCTTTTGTATTAATCAGATCTACCAAAGTAATAAAACTCTGAGAGGTTATATTGCTCCTCTCAAACTGAGTTATCACTGGTTATAGCAGATTCGCTAAAAATAGTCAACTCAATTGAGTTGAGATTCACTACACGATTCATCTGCCAAATATTTTAGGGTGATAATTCTTTTTGCATTACCTATAAAAATGTGAGAATTCTAAGAGGATTACATCGTTCTCACTCAGCTGAATTGCCACTGGTCATAGCAGATTCGATAGAAATAGTCTAACTTGACAGAGTTGAATTTTCACGATTTTATGACTTCTGAAAAAATACGAATATGAAAACGCATGTAATTAGTAATTTTTTTCTTAATATACAAGAAAAAATCTTAAATCCTCTATTAACCTTTTGTATTAATTAGATCTACTAAAGTAGTGAAACTCTGAGAGGATTACATCACTCCCCTCTAGTGTTAATAAGTAACTTTATGTGATCAAAATGACTTGATGACTAGGTCATAAGTCATTTAATCATTTTAGTTAGATAGATTTATGTGACCTAGTCATAAAAATAATATATATTATAATTATGCGATTATGCTTAAACATTAAAAAAAAATATATTTTTACAGAAATATTTGTTTATTTATTGATTTATTTAAAATGCAGAATAAATTTGATTTGTTTCTAAATAAATTAGTAACTTTAAATTTGAAACAAATAAAGATGCTAATGACTATTTTGCCATTAAATCATCAGCAGAATAATTTATTTTTCCTTCAAAATTAAAATCATTATTCATTTTATCAGTTAAAAGTATTTTATTATCAGAATAATCAAACTTATTTTTATGCTCAATAGCTTTAATCCATTTTTTAATATATGTATTCCATTCTTATTCTTGTTCTTCAGTTTGAGATTCAACAGGTTCATTTAAAACTAAATTATCATTTTTATTATTATCTTGATCTCCATTATTTATATCACTATTTTTATTACTAATTTGTAAATCATTATCTGATAGATCACTAAATTCAGGATTATCTAAATCATCATCTTCAACTATTAGTGATTCTTTTGTATTTTCTTTTGATGATGATAAAGTATATCACTTCAGATTTGACTCATTGCTAATACTTTTTTACTCTATAAATATTAATAGAATAATGATTGTTAATTGATTAAATTTTAATATTATTAATATAAATATATCCCTTTAATCTATTTCGTTTATTTGTATGAAGAAAGCTCATACTACTCCAAAGCCTTTCTACTGATGCTGAATTTACACAAATATCATAAATGTGTATTACAACTTTTGTAAGTTCTAGACTAATACCAACTGTAGAATCCCAATAATTTACTAAATTACCTTTAAATTGTAAAAATGTTTTAATGTCATAAGGATCTTTACATTATTTGTAAAGAATTATTTTGGCTACAATTGATAAAGAACAAGAATTAAAAAAAGCCTGATAATAATATTTTAATCATTTGTCAAGATGAGTTCATGTTAAATTATTATTTGTAGCTCAAAACTTTTTCATTTTGTATGAGAATGAAGAACATTAGAAAGTATAAGAAGTGGTTATTCCCATTCTTTCCAACATGCCTTAAGTCTTTTAATTATTCACATACCAAAATCAAAATCCTGGTGATTTTTAAACATTCTAATAGTGTAAAATAATGTATTACTTCAAATAATTGTGCAGTATCTTTTTGTAGTTTATTTAAAAAGCTACATGAAGGATAAAGTATATATTGTAATGCAAAAAGAGTTATCCAAAATTCTGAATTATTTATAATATCAGCAATATTATAAGGAAGTTTTCAATTATTATTATAAGTTGAAGATTTATTTGCAGGTATTGAAGGTATACCATTTTGATATATTATATTAACTCAATATGGGTTGAATTTTGCTAAAATAAATTAAAATAATAGAATATTTTTATATTAATATATGCTTGATATTAATTAATAATATTATTAAATTAATATTATAATATTTATCTTTAATACCGCTTGAGTTTTTAAATTGAATAAAAATACAAATAATAGCTATTTCATCTAGTATCACCTGGAGATACTAAACATATATATTTATTATAAAGTCTCATTTGCTCATTATGAAGATTATCAGTAAAAAATACTGATTTATTAAAATAACTAATTAATCAAATTGCTTCTTTTGATACTCTTTGATATAATGCTTATTCTTTAAAAATTTCACTAAAAATGAGATTCATTTGGTAAGTCATATAGGGTAAAAAGATTTTACTTGAATATTGTTTTTTCATTTATTATCTAAAATAAAGTCAAGTTATTAATTATTAATTTTATTTTAATTTATAATAATTAACTATTTAAAAATTTACCTTGTTATAGCATATTTACTAACTGAATCTGAAACAAATGCCTTTATATTAACTTTTTTTTTCTTAGCATCTTTTATTAATTCTTCTATATGTAGAATAACATCAGCTATATGAGATCACTCAGAATTTATTTCATATGTACCCTAAACTAAAGGTTGATCTTTTGATGTAATAAATATTATACTCATAATTATTTCATCTTTACATTTGTCTATCTATCAAAAGCAGCTGTAACTCTATCTTTATCATTTTCTGCAATTTTTATAATATTTTGTTGAAGAGATTTAGTAGTATTCTTTAATATTCTACTATTAATTGCTTTGCGATTAAAAAGAGTAAGCTTAGATACAACAAATTCAAATAGTATTTTAGTTTCTTCATTATTCACAAAAGAAAAAGGAAGACCATTTGATACTGTCATCCTAAAAAATAATTGTTCAAATCGAGATACATTATTTATTGATATTTGATGATAATAATATGAAGTTAAAGCTTATTGTTGATTGCCACTAGAGTTAAAACTTAATACTGTTGATGCAAAAAGTTTTCTTTTTTTTGCTAATTGAAAAATATCATCATCATCTTTGTTACTAACTAATTTATAAATAAAAGTGTTTAGCAAATTTTTAAAAAATAATGTTGCTAATTATTAATAAATAAATAACATACCTTCTATAATTTCTTTCTTTTTACCTTTATCTTTAGATATTGGTAGACTAAACACTTCTCTTACTACTTCTTCAGAAAATTAATTTTTAAAATTTTTACATTTTTTTAAATGTGCATAGCATAATCTTGTTTTATTTGATGTATAATATTCCAGTTTTAACTTAGTTTCTTCTATTTCACCATCACAATAATTAATACAACTAAGATATACTGCAATAACATTTTCTTTATTTTTTGTATTTTTAACAAGTACAAAATAAGAATGAAAGTTATGTGATTCTGAAGACATTTTTTTTTAAAAAAAAAATTATCAGTGTAAATCAGTAGTACATACATAGTTAAATAATAGTATATTACTTAGAAAAATTATTTTTGATAATATGCTTAAGATCTGCAAATATGTGATTTAATTGCAGGAATTCAATTAGTCTTTAGATTAACATCTACCATATATATAAAATTAGATTATCCTAATATAGACAATATATTTTAATAAAGTTATTTAAATAATCACGATTTTAGATCAATATCTATTGGTTTAAAAGATCAGCAAGTTACATAAATAGTATATAATTTGTAAATATTCACAATTTAATACTATTTATTAATATATATATCCAATAAAAATATTTATTATAACTATCATTTAAAAGCAAAAAGAAAAAGTTATTATTTAATAATTTATATATTAGTTTGTAAAAGAACACTGGAAATTACATTATAAAATTAATATAGTATATATCATAAAGTTATAAATAGAATATTTCATAAAGAATGCATTTGTTATTTATATATTATTCATAATATTTATTGTTTATGCATTTTTAAACTGTATTTATGTGAGCAAAAACTATATAAAGAGTGAGTGTCTGATGGGTAGAAGGGTGGATAAAATGTTTTTTTTGAAAAAAATATATTTTAATATTATATTTTTTGTATTAAACAATTAATTTTGCATAAAATAAAACTTAGAAATTTTTTTTAAAAAAATTATATTATTCTATAAGACATTCATGGATATTTGTTTAGATATTTGTATTATCTATACAGATTATAATTTACAGATTACTTCTCTAAATCTATTATTAAGTAATATTATGACATAGGTCACATTAGATGATCATCAGTCATAATGTCATGTCACTTAGTTATTTCTAATATGACTGTAATGACTAATAATCATAGGTCACATATATTATTACTAATGTCATTTTAAAAAAATAAAATAACCAGATTATGTTCCATCACTGCTCTTCTTAACTGAGTTGCCATTGATCATAGCAGATTTGCTAGAAATAGCCCAATTCAATTAAGTTGAGATTCGCTATATAGTTTATCTGCTAAATGTTTGTAAGGATGACAAAAACTCAGTAGAACTGAGTTTTAAAGGTTATAATCTTATTTATTAGAGCTTCTCATGTGATAAAAATAATCAGCAATTATTTGATCATGTGTTTGAGAAAATTACATTCCCTTAAACTACATTAGCAAAAGACTATAAATTGAAATAAAAAATCTCAATAACAAAAATATGACTATTTATTAAATGCTAAGTTTACAAAAGAAAAGAAAGTATAAAGTGAAAAGACCCAAATACCATAATTTTTTTGAAATAACTAATGCAAAACAATAGAATTTCTCAAATTTTGTTACATTCTTGATCAATACCAATGATATTAATGCAATGCCTAGAGTTGCAGAGAAAGTCTAATTAACAAATATTTTAAGACTAACTTGTGATTCTTCTATTCTTATATCTATTTGAAAGTATATCTCTGAACTATAGACCTCCGCCAAAAGTCTCTGAACGCTTTTTGGCTCAATGTAAAACTTAAAATTTTAAAGTTTATTAAAAAAATTT